ATTTCAGTGTGGGAAGATGTAAGCATTTTCTAAATTTTAAAATAAAAGGCAAGGAGTTTAAATATCTGCTTCTTATATTTAAGGAATAAAAAAGACAAGCTTGTATTTTAAAGTACATTTTGCATATGTATACAATCCAAATTTATTTTTTTCTCTTTATCCTTGAATACTTTTTAAAGGTATTCATGTTCTCATTTTTCAAAATCCACTTCAGTGATAACATTATAAAATATATGTGTGACTTTCTTAAGAATATCATGTACACCAATGTTCGTTGCAGCACTGTTTACATTAGCAAAGACTTGGAATCAACCCAAATGCCCATCAATGATAGACTGGACAGGGAAAATGTGGCACATATACACCAGGGAATACTATGAAGCCATAAAAAACGATGAGTTCGTGTCCTTTGTAGGGACATGGATGAACCTGGAAACCATCATTCTCAGCTAACTGACACAAGAACAGGAAAATCAAACACCGCATGTTCTCACTCATAGGTGGGTGTTGAACAGTGAGAACACATGGACACAGGGAAGGGAGCATCACACAGAGGTCTGTGGGAGGGGACTAGGGGAGGGTCTGTGGGGGGTGGGGAGTTGGGGAGGGATAACATGGGGAGAAATGCCAGATATAGGTGATGGGGATGGAGGCAGCAAACCACATTCCCATGTATGTGCCTATGCAACAATCCTGCATGTTCTTCGCATGTACCCCAGAACCTAAAGTGCAATAACAAAATACATATATATACACACACACACACACAGATATATGAATATCTTGGTGTTCCACTGAGCAGCTTGCCAAATAATACATCAGCAGTACAACTTTCTCCTTCCTTCCTTCCTTCTGATGGGCCAACCTCATGCCCTGTAACTCAGGCCTTTCCTCTGTGACTGTAGTGTGAGTGTGTGTGTGAGTGTGTATGTGTGTGTGTGCGCTCTCTGTGGGGTGTTCCCTCAAGTGTCTTTAGGTGGCTCTTTTCTCTTTCAGAGGGAGTTTCTTTACGCACAAGTGCTCACTAGTGCATACACATTCGCAGACTTCAGAGTTCTCTTCATGTGCAACTGTCTGCTCTTCGGTACTCTTCCCACTAGGATGTTTTAGTTTTTATTTTACAATTTTTCATTTCCCTAGAATCCTACTCTGAGAGGGAGGGTTCCATACAGGAGGGTTTCAGGAT